TTCTTCCGAAACAATTGATAATGATCTAGCAGACTACACGGCATTCCGCCCCAAAAGACACGCTTCTCCTTCCTTCATTATGTTGTGGATTTGCTGCCTTTCAAAATTTCGGGGCCCATTAGCCCGTCTGAGCCTCACTGCCATTTTTCTGCACATATGACTTCGATTATTTTGTAATTCTGTCTCTCCGAAACATTGGTACTCAAATACCACACTAAACTGTGTCACAGTCCAGAAGACCACATCATTAGTTCTACATTTATCCGGCCGTTAAAACGACGTTTAGGCCTGTAACGTCGTTCAGGCATCATCATCTGATAATGACGCAGATCATTTCATCACTATTAGAAATTGAATGCGTTCTTTTTTCCATACACGATAGAAACAGTCGGAGATATCGTTCAACAGAGGGGACATCTCGTCCATAAGTTTGCCTATTCAATGTATGACGTACTCTTAGTGACCGTATAGATGTACGTGTATTTTGTGTGAACTATAACATACTGACGGAGACAGAAGCAGGCTTTCCCACCGCGGCGGTCCGGGTTCAGTTCCATATCAGATCATGCTACATTTGTGACGAATGAAGTGGCACTGTGGCACGTTTTATCCGAGTACTTCGGTTTCCTGTGCCAGTTTTAATTCCACCGACTGCTCCGCACTCATCATCATCTATCGTCCGGGGCTGGTACAACAGGCCAGTTCGTGGCCGACGTGCCAAATGGACCAAGTCCTCTGGAACTTCAGTGTTGGTATTATTGATGGGGGTTAATTATGAAGTAGGGCCGCGTCATAGCTCAAGCGGTTAGTCGCTGGCTTCCCACCGCGGCGGCCCGGGTTAGATCCCGGATCTGGTTAAGAGGAATTTGTGGTGAACAATGTGGCGCTGGGGGCAGGTTTTCTCAAAGTACTTCGATTTCCCCTGCCAATCTTCATTCCACCAATTGCTCCACAATCACCCTCACCTATCAACTGGGGCTGGCACAATAGGGCAGAAGTGGCCGCAGTACAAGGGACTTAGTCCCACCCCACTAACAATTAAGGACTATTACATTGGTACACGTTAACAGTGCCTTCAGTTCACAAGAATGCTGATAAATATAAGTGTATTAACTGCAGAGGAATATTATTATGAAATGTAAGCTGTATAATGTTGAGCAACGTCTTGTATAAAGAATATATGTCGCATAGAAGAGATTTAGGGCACTACCGCTATGCTATTATTGAACAGCTGATTGAGTGAAGACTGGTAGTGATTTGCGAAAAAAAAAATGTGATACAGTGATTGTCAAGGTGTAGGTATGAGACGTCGAGGGAATTTCGGATCCCCAAAGAAGTTGGCTAATCTGGTGCAATAACCGTTGTAAGGTCGCACTGAAAGCCTGCAATTCAAAGAAAACTATAAAATAATTTTAAGCTGAGAATGCCATTTAAATAACGGGGTGTTATAGCTGCAATTTTATTTAATATTGCCTCGGAGGAAAAATGAGAAATGTTTAATTTTAACTTTTTTATTGCTAGTGGGGTGGGACTAAGTCCCTTGTACTGCGGCCACTTCTGGCCTATTGTACCAGCCCCAGATGATAGGTGAGGGTGATTGTGGAGCAATTGGTGGAATGAAGATTGGCAGGGGAAACCGAAGTACTCGGAGAAAACCTGCCCCAGCGCCACTCTGTCCACCAAAATTCCCACTTGACCAGACCCGCGATCGAACCCGGGCCGCCGCGGTGGGAAGCCAGCGACTAACCGCTTGAGCTATGGCGCGGCCTAATTTTACCTTAGTTCGACCATTTTTATTGCAAGAAATCAGTAATTAGCACAGACAGTTGATTTAGTGATCTTTGGAGAGGGCAACTGAAGACATGCCGGCAGAGCGAAGCAGCAAAGGTCAATGCGATACAACCCAGCAAGTAGCGGCTACAAGGAACTTGCCCAGCCGTGGACAGTGTCCGAATGATGAGTCTTGTGTTCGAAGAGGTGAGAATTCTGAAATATTTAGGTGCTTTGATAACAAGGAAAAATGTAATTAATGAAGAAATCATTATCAGAATCTCTTGCCTGCACTCGGTGTTACTGTAATTTAGAGTATATTATGAAGTCTAGAACTGTGACCAGAATATCAAAAATTAAAATGTAGAATCAGTTTTGAAACCAGCTGTGACGTGTGGATGTGAAATATGGCTTGGGAAATCAGAACGGAGGGAGTAGTATAAAGCCCCTGATCTGGTAGCGGATTCTAGAGTGGGATATTTCATGTCGGTCAGGAATGTTATTAGAATGGATCAATGAAAACTGGCTAAGAAAATCTGTGAAAGTAAGGCAGATGTTAGAAGAAAAGTTGAAAGGCCGAAAGTAAAGAACGTGGGAGATTTAGTGAATGATACACGAGAGAAAAGATTGAGGAGGCAGTAGGCAAATAGTTTTGTCACGTGATGAGCGTGATTGTAGACGGGTTCTGGTTTGTAATCGGATTTATTGGACTTTTTAGCTTACAACTCGTGACTACAATTTACAAGTCGCTGTCACACAAAGATTAATATTCTCAGTCTCTGATTGGCAACGGATTCCAAAAGTGGACTTTCCTCTGCTACCGGGCTCACATCCTCACAGGCTGATGGCCATGTCACACCAACCTCCTACTCTTCTAACTGTCGTCTCAGGACTCTCTCGTAAAAAAAAAGTCCAAGTCCAAGGCACTTTACGACTGGCGGTTTACCGCCAATCAGTTCGTCTTAGCGCCAGGCCCCTTGAGGCCCGCAACCAGAGAATTTTTCCAACTGAACTCTTGCGGTAATAGTCCTTATGTAACATTCTCTCTGACGAGAAAATGAGTTTGACTCTTATGAATACACTTGGCTTTTCGTCAAGTGTATATTTCGCACATATAACGTGTTATTGAATATTCTTCCTTCTGTAGTGCACACAAGTTCTCTGTCAGTACAGGATTTACAGAGCAGATCATTCCTAACTTACAGATCATACGTTGTAAGGACAGCTTAGTCATTTGAACGGCCGTAATCTTGACCACCGCCAAGTTTAATCCTCTTATTATGTTTTCTGTCTGGTTTCACCTTGTCCCATACCGCGAACATGGTCATTCTCATGATTTTGTATGCCTTCTGCTTGTTGCCTGCACAATTATTTTATATAGTCGTATACATATGTAAAGTTGAAAGCTGTGTGCAAGTCGCGGACCGGTGTGCACCTCGGAGAATTTCCAGTGGCGCGCAGAACCTTGTTTTGCATGCGTTGCAATTTTAAGAGGTAGGTGTCTGCCGCTAATTCCCAGGCGGGACACGCGTAAGTTCTTACATTCGTAAGTCAAAGTCAAAGTAATCTTGCGACTGACGATCAGACAGTCAGTAAGTCTTGGTATCGAGCACCTTCCTGGGGCTCATGACCAGATATTTATTACTCCTCGACAGTTAAGGTCTTGTTTCTGTGGGGCGCCCTCTCTGACTGGAGGATGGGTCTGTATTTCGTATATGCTGCTGGCCCTTGCCAGCGCGGTGTTTCTCGGGTCCTAGTCCTTTGGGACTTGAACCATATTTTACTGTCTCACATTTGAGACTTCCCTTTTCGTCGCCTCCTACGACTCGCAGGGTCACGGTGGATGTATGCGACCCCACCTCCACACGGGAGATTACTTACTTACTTTTGCAATGTCATCTACGCCTCGGTATATAGCCCCCGCACGGACCGCTTAGAAAACACCGCTTCAAACAGCTCGTCCATTGTTGAGTACGTGTCTCTTGCGGCGATCGCGTGACGACTACTAAGCCATTGCTTAGCAACGGTTGTTTGCAAAACCGTTCCCTAACAAAAGCTGTCTCTCCTGGCCTCTCAAGTCTGGCTTTCAGCAGTCAAGCGATAATACAGATGGACTGTAAAGGTAAGGAGTGAGTAAGTGAATAAATAAGTAGAATTTTATATGCCCCGCTTAAATTGTAATATACTGCAGTTTGCTGGCAAGTAAACAGCTTCGAGTGTCTCTCGCAGAGACGCTGTAGAGGCAGAACCTCAGCGTCACTCCACTCGACTCTCGCAGTGTGGAAGGGAGCTGTAGGAATTCTACGTTTGCAGCCCGCAGCCTGACTGAGTAATTGCAATTGATCCGACGTCAGAGGGATAACAGCAGACTCTGTGCAGAAATGTCTTTATCCCATCGGTCAGCAATGTCGTCAGGCGTATTTGAACTCGGCCTCTCGTACACATGAAGGCGGAAACGGAAATAGTTCTTGAAACATTGTGTTCCAAAAGTTTCAAGGCGAGTAACAATGTCCGAAGTAAGATTGGTGCTTCTTGTTACAGGTCGCCGGCATCAGAGAACAGCGTATTTCCATCAGCAGTAGCTGGTCGCTGGAAGCGCCCGTAGCTGTGCTGCCTGGACCAGCTGGACATCTGGAAAGCAAAAAGCTGTCACTTTTAAACGTTCTCATTTAATCTTCCCCCAGTAAGGGCAATCAAGATTTTTACTGCAGTACGATGTGCTTCTTCTGTTTTGTTCTTTGTGCAACCCGGGCTGCAGCATCACATTCCAAAGTTTCGGAATGCCATGACTCTTCCTTTTACAGACCCAAGGATCCAGCATCAGTCCCAGCGATAATTGTCTGCCGGTGCTGCCTAATGCCTATAAATACAATTATATAAGTAAATAAATAAGAGAGAACAAAAAAAAAGTAGTACGAGAAATGAAAGGATGGCCGAATTTAAAGAAGAAACAAAACATACTACCTTAATGTTGCCCGGAGATAATATTGTGGCGTGTAAAGCCATTGTAACAGTAACAGCTGTTGCTAGGGAACAGCTCCGTGGACACGATGTTTCCCCGGCAACGAGAGGACATGCAATAATGGAAGAGACGTTTCCTGTGTAGTCCTTGCCGGGGCTTTATAGTGAGGAACTGCTCAGTTAAGTCAGTTCAGAGTTACAGTTGTTAGAAGTGAGAGACTGATAGCTGAGGCCAGGAAGAGTTCAGGAATCCGGAGGATGTGGCAACATCTGCTGTTTGGAAGCCGCTACCAATCAACGGCTAGAGAAGACTCAGAAGACACCCGCAGCAAGAAAGCAGATTGTACCGTCCCCTGCACTGCAGAAAGAAACAGGTCAGTCAGTTCGGGCTCCTCATGTAAACAGTCAATCTCTACACAATATGGTGAGTAGTAGTGACTGTAGTACAGCAGATTATGACAGAGGTCAGTGGTGCAATTTCCGAAGAGGACAAAATAATGGCCATTACTAAAATGTTCTAAACCTCATGAAACAAAATGGCCACTAGAGTTCATAGGCCCTTCAAAGTCATAGCATTTAATGCGAACGGCATTGGAAGGCAGCACTATGAGCTCAGTAAACAGCTGCAAGACCTATACGTAGATGTGCCCTGTTTTCAGAGACACATCTGAAACCTCATGAGATGTTCTTTATTCCAAATTACCATCACTTTTGTAGAATCGACCGCCACTAGGGCAGTAAGGGCGGAACTGCCGTTGCGGTAAGAAAAGGCCGTACGAAATCCCTGATTGCACTGATAGTCTCCTCAGGCTTTTTGAAGGGGAACGTTGCAACATTTTCTCCACGTCAGCCAGCTCAGCCTCAGTCAAAATGGCCGGTCTCCCGGATCTCTTCCTATCTGAAACTGATCCACATTCCCGAAATCGGTTGATAGTTCTCGTTATCGTCGAATTGTTAGGAGCTGCAGAATCTGAATATTGTTGACGAAACTCGTCTGCGACACGTTCATAAGAACGACTGGCGAAATAATGTTCCACAATGAAAACTCGTTCTTGGGAAAACGACATGTCTGTCACGCAATAAACAAAGCTATACTGCAGACGTCGTACGACCCATACACGATAGGTCGCGTTTCTACTCGTTAGTACTCCAACAGTACCATCTAGCGGTAGGAGATATAATTATATTCACTGCAATACAATTTATGACAACTTTTAGTTTGATATGCGTGACTTTTCGATCTCCCTGTACAACATGGAAATGTCACTTCGAGCATAAACTTCGACTCCCAATTCACGACATGAAATCAAATTCAATACTTACCAATTTGCATATAATATACCATAATAGTTGCACATAATTTATTCACCAACTGACCATGTGACCCAAAGATGTTTCTTTGGAGCTCAGAAAGTATCTGACGGACTGGTGATCCTGCGTTTTGACATTATTAGCTTTAAACAGATCACAGCCACCAGTCGGTCAAATGCAGAGGGAACAAGTAATGTTAACCTCCCCTTGTGCCTCAACTTTGCCTAAGAAGACAAAATCACAAGAAATTTTCAGACTGCTGAGCCTTTACCACATTGCAGTCAGAGTAGAGGCAAATAATGTTCAGGATGCTCAGAATGCACTGGTAGAACTGCCAAAGTTCGGCCGCATTTGGGCGAACTGCAAACAGCCTCCACGTTGCTTGTGGTGCAGGGGCGGCCATCTATATAAGAAGTGTCCAGAAAAGGGGAACACATCTTCAAAGCTGGCATGCTGCAGCTGCCAGTTGGTGGAAGGAAAGACAGCTAATCCCATCACCTCATCACCCCATGTCCGTCCTTCGCTGCGGTGCTCCAAAGTAACACAGCGACATCAGCGGCCACATCCACACCAGGTTGCAGTGGCACGCCCAGCCACGTCCCTGCGCCTTTGAAGCAGCAGCAACTACTGGAAACAGGTCATCAGGGCTATTAATATCAACGGTTTGCCTTTGGACAGTATATAAAGAGTAGTAACTGTACTAAAGAAAATTATGACAGAGTTCAATTGTGCCGTGTTACAGAAAGACAAAACAATAGCCATTAAATGCAGTGCTGCAAGTTCAGTGAGCAGCTACAAGACCTACATAAATTGTGACCCTCTTTGCAGAGACACATCTGAAACCTCACAGGAGGTTCTTTATTCAAAATTACTACTTTTATCGAACTGACCGCTACCCAGGCAGAAACAGCGGAACTGCCGTTGCAGTTAGATAAGGCATCCCCCACAAACATGTAGACCTGCCTCCCCTTGTCTCAGCAGAAGCAACAGGGGTCTGCATACCTATTGGTAATTGTGAAGTACTCCTTGCAGGTGTTTATAAAACTCTAGGCCGTGCCTGGATTTATGCGGACATTACTGAGATCTTAAGCTTTAGACATAAATTCATTTTGGCAGGTGATCTGAATGCCAAACATCCATTCTGGAAGAGTGCAGTTTCAAACCCTTCAGGTAAGAAACTGACGGCCTTATTTGACTTGGAAAAAAAAAAGGTAAAACTAAAAGGTAAAGCTATCTCTGTAACAGGCTGTGGAGCCCCATAGGGTTGTGAGATGTCGAAGCTCTCATATTTTCTAGACAATCAGCTCACAGTTGATGTTGAGGCTGTCAGCCTTACGCTCCAGCCACCCTTTACCTCGAGGAAGACTCCTGGTACTCATTTCTGTTAGACAAATTCAAAATGTCAGTGCCACAACGACCCACTCATTATTCACCTCTAGGAAATGGCGACATGCTGGGTACTGTGGTCCATTAGAATAGCAGGGTGTCAGATTTCATAATTACAAGCATTTTAATGAATCAGAAGAATGTAAAATTGTGGGAAAACTTAACATTTAAAAATGTGTATCTCTGCAATTACTGGGCACAGGAAAGTAAAATTCCACATAGTCCACTTCCTAAGTTACCCAAGAAACATGCAACATATTATTAGCATCAGAGGTTGACGTGAGAATTATGCTTTATGTCCAGCGGAAATTTTTATAACATTCCACCCCATAAATTCCAGGAGCAGTGATTCATCAGTTAACAATCTTATATCAAGTCAGTTTATGCAACTGCCATGTTCTTACCTTACTTTTCCATTAAAAAAGAGCCAGTTAAGGTTGCTTATTGTTCAAAGGTCAACTATCATACAGAACCTCACACGCTACATTCAATGGCACTAGTATTACATTATTACACCTGTTAAGTACACAATGGCCATGCAAGGTACTGCTGATCACAGAAAGTATCCAACAAGATGGGGAACTGTCCAGTGGTATGAAGTCCATGCTGAGTTTCATTAAAATCAGTCTGCATGTATATTATTCATGTTTGTCGTTGAACAGGAGGACACAGGGATGAGAGCTCACTAACAGGATTCCAAAGAAGGAACTTGTGGTATTTGGAATCCTAACAAGGACAGAATAAAATTTACATAATTTGCTTTCTGCAATTAGTGTAATTTCCAAAAACAGAGATACCATGTATACGAGAGAGGGGCGGTTAGAAGTGACCAGAAGACGAGGAAGAAGACATAAGAAGATACTGGATGATCTTGGGGACAGAAGAGGATATTTTTATTTGAAGGAGAAAGCTCTAGATCACATTAAGTGGAGGAACTGTTTTGGAAGAGACTGTGAACCTGTTGTCTGACAGATTACTGATGAATGAATATGAGTAAAATATATCGCATATTTTGTGTGTAAATGTGAGGGGTAATAATAAAATGCCATGACTGATGTTAGTGTACATCAGTGACACAGTGTTAAGGGTAGTAAACTTGTATGTTGCTGAAAACCTTTCTTTGATTTCACTGCAGGCAAACAAAAATACTGCTTTGTATCTGACACAAGCAAAAGATTTTTGTGTGCACATGTTCACAGCAGTCATTGCATTGTGAAAAGGCTGCATCATGGCATGTGTTCATAAACTTCTGTGTGAAAATTGGGAAGTGTCCATAGAACCCTAAAAATTTAATTTTGAAAAAAAAAAAATCTCAACTATATTATGTGTGTGCATGCATGTGTGTGTGTACAGTGAAGACTTGATTTTATGTTTCTGCAAGGACCATTCAGAATGAACGTAAAATCAAGGAAACTGTATTATGTTAAACATGTAATCTACTTCAGTGTGTTGCATTAGAAATGTTACCTAGTTCATTTCTTCCACATGTTCATCAAAGCAAGCTGCTGCAGCTTCTTCACTTTCTGCTGAACCATGTACACCTCGTTCTCAGCCATCATGTTATCAACATCAAACTTCATGAGGTATTTCCTCCCAAGTGTTGATAACAATGTTGCTGGAGGTTCACTTTTTCAGCTTCAACCTTGTTCCTTCCCCTCCTTCTTAGATATTAGTGGTCACAATTTAACTTTGGTAGGGCACAGCTAAACCCTCCAGTACTAGAAGGAACCTGATTTCATGTGTGGGGCCTTATTTGTCTCTGATAATTGCTTTCTACTAAGTGTTGGCTTACAGTGACTGCACAATGACTTAATTAATTAAAGGCATCCAAATTGAGACAAATTCTTGCCTGGGAGAGGAATGTTGTTAATTCAGATCCTTCTGGGGGATGAAGTGACACCCATGTTCCACATGTATATAATCTTGACACATATATGAGGTCTGGCAATAAAGTTTGCGAACTCACCACTGTGCTCGCCATGGACAGAAACCTTGGTATGGTTTAATGACGTTGACATATCAGTGTTTCACAGCTATGTTGTTGATCTATGGCAGTCTCTTTCTGAGTGGCATCTATCATTGTCTGAGTGTTTTGGTGTCTTGCATCATGACACTGCACCTGCTCACACGGGACTCTGTGAGGGAGTTTTTAGCTAGTAAACAAATGTGCTGGAACACCCTCCTTGTTCACGGATCTAGCCCCCAGTGACTCTTTTCTGTTCTCGAAGCTAAAGGAAATATTGAAAGGAAGGCATTTTGATGACACTGATGACATCAGAAGTAATATGACAGCAGCTCCGAAGGTCATTCCACAAAACCAGTTCCAAAATAGTTCTGAAGGGCAAGCTAGGAGCTGGTATTGGTGCATAGCTTCCCAATGGGGATACAGTGAAGGTGACCACAGTGATATTCAGCAATGAGGTATGTAGCAATTTTACTGCGATGAGTTTGCGAACTTTATTGTCAGCCCACATGTCGGTAACTACTGAGAACTGGTAATAATATTAAAAATGCAACTTTATGCATTGCTTACACTTATAACTTGTAACACTTTCACCGCCAGTTAACAAATAAACTAGCAAAGACAAGAAAGTGTTGATTTTGAGTGGAGGAATTACTTCCTATGTGCAGTTTATGGTTGCCTAAGTTATCTGTCACTGCACTAATATGGGAGGAATTAGATGTTCTACCGGAACCAGCATATCAGTTCAAAAGAAGCAGATGGTTATATTTGCAACCAATAGAAACATGGGTAGAATCAAGAACACTGATTCAAGGAACATTCATTAATTTAAGTTGAATTTTGATTGAATATACAGGTAATCCATGCCTGGTTGTCCATTCTTGCACTGGGTTCATGGTAAAATCAGTAATGACAGTTTATCCGAATATTCTGCAACAACTACGACATGGAATTTGACAGAAACAGCCTGTATATGAAATTCTGATTCGTAGAGAATGCAAGACAATGCAATCATTCTGGTTCTGCACCCGCCTTATTCATTGTAATCAACATTACATAATTTGTTTCCATTCCCCAAGTTGAGAAGTGTCTAAAAGGAAAAGATATAAAGTGCCAATAGCTAACCCAAAGTGTGACATATGAACTGAACAACCTCAAAAAGTGCAAATAACTGATGTGAAAGTGGTACAACTACTGCAGTCATTGCATTCTGTAAGGTACAGACTATACTTTGAAGGGAATACATTTCACTAACAGGTATGGCTTGTTTTTACACAACCCACAGTCCTGAAATTTTATGATCTACCCTCACATATGTTTCATAACTAGAATTAATGAAAGTTAAGACACATGACATCTGACCAGTTTTAATGAGTATAATCCTCACCCAAAGATAGAGAAATATTTCTTAAAATATAAGACAGGAAATTAATTATATAAAATATATACAGAAATGTATAGAACAGGAGGCAATATTAGGATGTGTCTGAGACGTTTAGTGAACTGCAAGCAATGTAGGAAACAGCTCATTGACTTCAGTAATAACAATCTAAATTAAAACCTCTTCACTTGCACTGGAAATACAAGCACACCACCAAACACTGTAACTCACAGCAGATATTACTATAGCTGAGCCAACCAAAGAAAATCTCATGGGCAATAGGAATAAAAGTTGCTAGAAGGAGAGCAGATGACCCACAGACTACCATTTCAGCCCGCCTGCTTGCATCCCTCACTTAACACTGTAGAATGAAAAATGCTGCCACTTCTGCAGCAGGTTGGAGTTAATGGAAGAGGAGTGCAGGGGGGGGGGGAGGAGAGACAGAATGGGGAATGATCAGTTAAGAATTCTTTGACCAGCTCCACTATAGCTGAATAAAGAATGTCTAAACTAATCACATAACAGTGATTGGCTGTTGCATAAAATACAATAAATTAGATCAAACCTATTTAAAGTATTTCAGTGGCCATCAACACACCAACTAATAAATAAAACTGATATTAAAATTGTTGGCATTCTGCTTTATTATATATCCCAAACTTCCACAATTCCAGAAGAAACTTTTATCTTATTGCATTTAGCATTCTCCCACAAGAAGTCCTACATTAGCATCACTAAAAAATGTTGTTTATTGTGCATTAAAATGACTGGAACTAAAGCCTCACATGTAAAGGTGTTTATACAGTTTTATTGATAAAGTACTGTTTTCGGCTTTTCTTTGATCACAACGCAGAAAATCACGTCCGTGACACATATCAGTGGCACTACTGAACAAAGACAGACATTTTATATTGAACACACTCATTAAAATAGAACCCTAAAATGACAGTTGAAAAATTCAAGCCAATCACAGTTGCCATTTTATTCAGTGGTGTACGTAAAATGTTAGTTACTTCATGTTACGTATGTTCTTTATGGCCTGTCAAATTTTGTAACTCATGCTTGCCATGCAGTATGTCTTGGAAAGAAGACCACATAAAGGTAATTCTTCAAAATATAACTGAATAATAAACTGCACTTAACAGATATTAACAGGACCTCAGTTATATAAGGTATAATGTACACTGATTGTAGACTTACCTTATGTACGGTGCACCCAGCAATAAGAATTGGCTGTTGTTTCAGATTATTACTGCCAGTGGTACAACCCTTATAAAGTCATTTTCTGCTTCAATTTTTTAACACGGTGTACTGCTGTTACAGTTATTCTATAAAATAATCATAAAATTAATCCACAGTTTATTCAGTCATAATGAAAAATTAAATTTGTTTAAAAAACAATATACATTAAACTTCCCATTATCCAGCATATATAGGAAATGGGGTGCACCAATTTAATGAATCTACCAATTGTGGATCTACCAAAACCGCAAGCGCTGTATAAATGCGAACGTTTGAAGCAATGTGATTGATTAGCGCACGTGATGGTGAAAAGGGAGCTGAATAGCGAGCGTTGCAGAAATGCATGATAATATGTGGGATGTTCCCACAAAATGATCATGTTTTTGGTTTAGCTCTTGTGTGGGAGTCTTACCTATGTGATGTAATTGCTTGATGAGTGAAAGATTTTCAATTTGTATACTGCAATGTTATCACAGATTTAACTGGCCTTTACTATAATGACACATGAATGAGGAAGGACGATGATAGGCAGCACAGCTAGTGGCACCTGGGGCAACCTCCATGTGGCAGGTGAACATATGACCATTACAAACCTGTTTTTGAAGAACTTTAAAAAAATGCAAAACTTTCTTTTAAATGTTTGCCAATTGGATGAGAATTAAGGATGCTGGATATTGGACAAGCAGGTGTTTATCGTTTTCCTTTTACACATCACAGCCCTGTGCAATGAATGTAACAGCTTTCCTATTTATTTTTGGGCTTATCTCATAACAGACATGGTTAGTCCAGTAAAAACTGTAATGTATTTTTTGTGCTATCAGGGTGAAGCAAAGTGTATATACACTTCTCTTGTATTGTATTTTTAACACTGGACAAACCACAGTTAACCACTCATCATTACATACAGAATTTTATATAATTTAAAGGCAAATATACCTCTTTAAGTCATGTACATTTTTGGTAGAATATATTTTCATTTATATAGATATATTTCATTTAAAATAAAGAAGCGTGTATGGATGCCTCAAGCATCTATTTTCCACTCTTAATAAATGTGTAGACAGCTCTCAGAAGTAGGTGACACTTCTAGATTCTCTCTCCAAGGCACCATACACCTTGTTATATTATGCCCAAAATACCACACTATAGTACACATACAATGATGTGTGAAAATTCCTGGTCTGTAGACTCCTAAATGCTTTTAGATAATTAGTTCTAATTTCAGAGTCAACAGCAATTATGATTCATCAGAAAACGTATTAGTATATTGCCCAGTTTGCAGCAAATGCAAGAAACTTAAAATACTTCATAAAAAATATTTTATAACTGTAATCACTGTACCAAATACCAAACTGTTCAGTTATTATCTTCATATACTGTTCTAAATTCTTAAAAGATCCAAGTAATATTTCAGTCACTCAATCACTCACTCATGGTGCTGAGCCCTTCTTGAGAAACTGCCAATTCTGCAGTTACTCAAGAACTTCCCAGCATTTTATTGAATCCGAAGGTTCATTACTGTGTTCACAAGAGCCCTCCACTGGACCCCATCCTGAGCCAGATCAATCCAATCCACATCATCCCACCCTTTATCTCTAAGATCCATTTTAATATTGTCCTCCCACCTATGCTTTGGTCTTCCCAGTGATCTCTTTACATCTGGCTTTCTTACCAATATCCTATATGCATTCCTCTTCTCCCCCATTCATGCTACATGCCCTGTCCATCACACCCTCCTTTACTCGATCGTTCTAATTATACTTGGAGAAGACCACAAGTTATGAAGCTCCTCATAATACATTTTTCTCCAATCTCCTCTTGCTTCATCTCTCTTCAGTCCAAATATTCTCCTCAGCACCCTGAGTCTGTGTTCCTCCCTTAAAGTCACAGACCAGGTTTCACACCCATACACAACCAAAGGCAAAATTATAGTTTTGTAGATTCTAACTTTTATGTTTTTACACAGCAGACAAGAAGACAAAAGGTTAAGTAATATTTCAGTAAACTCAAGAAATAAATAGTGATATCTTGCGGTTCATCATTGACCTAATTTTAGATATGGATACGAACGTGATCTAATAGTTCGCTTCTAAACTTGAAAACTTCATGACACATGTCACATGTGTATTCAGTTTTTAACTCTGACCCAGTCACACTGTTCATATCTGAAGGCAATCCATCACTGGACATGATATAATGTTCTGGTGGCAGTGAAGCTGGAGGTTCTGTTTGATTTAATCTGTTCAAAACGTCATGTGCAGCAGCAGATTTGGAAGGTTCCACTTTCCCTTTTGCTGCCTTTGCAGCAGCTGCAAGTTCGTCACTGTGCTTCACAATATGTGCACAGAGAGCCTCCCTGTCTGTAACCACATAACCACACAGCTGGCAGCCATCCAAGTTTCGTGCCGCATGTACCCAGCGCACATGTTCACGTAGCACCACCTTTTGATTAAATGCTCGAGGACAAAGGGGACAGACATGAGGACGTTCACCTGTGTGAATACGTTCATGTTTACGAAGGGTTCCCCCATCACGAAAAGCCTTCCAACAGAAGCGACAACCATAAGGACGTTCCCCAGTATGGGTACGCGTGTGAATAAGGTGACCCTGGCGACTTGCAAAGCATTTTCCACAGCGCTGGCATAGGAATGGGGACCTCCCTGGAGATCCTTTACCTGCATGCATACGACCATGTTCCCACAGTCCTTGTCGACTAGCGAAGCTCTTACCACACTCAGTGCATGTAAAGGGTGAGTCAGCAGGGTGCTGGGTGCGACGATGCTCATCCAGAATCCCACGATCTTCTAGGCCAATTCCACATATCTCACAAACATGAGGGCGCTTGCGATGAATCCACATGTGCCTGAAAAAACAGTGAACTTTCTACAATCGATACTCATCAAGATAATATTGGAGTGTGACAACTTGCCATAGCAGTATTGGAGTATTGTACCTCTACTTTAATCTCCATATCATGTTGCATTACCTCATCATATGTCCACAGTTTTATCTTATTTCCAAATGTGAGATTTCAGAATATGTTTTACTTTATGTCACATCCAAACTGCAGTTCAAACTAACTTCAAATGCAGCTCCCCAAAAAATGGTGTTGATGGACACAGTACATACCATTACCCAGGCAGCAAAGTGCACAGCCTATCACCCATATGGTTTAGTTTATATGTTGACAATTCTGTGTGAAAATGTAAATACTTGCATTATTACTGATAACACGAACAAACTTCGTTTTATAATTCTCACGTTTTTGATGACCACGTCATTATATCAGGTAAAAAAATTACAATGCAAAAAGCCATGTAAATTAAATTAAATGGTTAATAAACATAACCTAATAAGAACGGAAACGTAAGTGATGGTGTTGTGAGAGTTGGGATTCTCATACTGCTGACTAAGAAAAGTACTATCTCCTGGGATGTGATGCCTTGTAATCTGGTAGAAATTCCCCCACTTTCCTCCAAAATACTGGTAAACTTCTGTCACACTACATGACATCACATCCCACTAACATACAGTAAAATAACAGCAATATAACAAGATAGGATGCATATATTTCTAGCAAGGGCCCAGGCATTGCCTGAGTTAAGCTAGCAGTCTCCATTCCTGATTAAACACAGCACACTGAAACAGTAATCTTACAAGAACATTTCTTCAGTGTCCCACAAAATATTCACAAACACATCTATTTGTTGCAGAAATGCAATTGGAAGTCATGTTATTCAAGATGTTGTGGTGTATAAACCTGTTTCTAGGCAATGACTGGGGAATGGGCAATGTATAAACCTGTTTCTAGGCAATGACTGGGGAATGGGCAATGTATAAACCTGTTTCTAGGCAATGACTGGGGAATGGGCAATGTATAAACCTGTTTCTAGGCAATGACTGGGGAATGGGCAATGTATAAACCTGTTTCTAGGCAATGACTGGGGAATGGGCAATGTATAAACCTGTTTCTAGGCAATGACTGGGGAATGGGCAATGTATAAACCTGTTTCTAGGCAATGACTGGGGAATGGGCAATGTATAAACCTGTTTCTAGGCAATGACTGGGGAATGGGCAATGTATAAACCTGTTTCTAGGCAATGACTGGGGAATGGGCAATGTATAAACCTGTTTCTAGGCAATGACTGGGGAATGGGCAATGTATAAACCTGTTTCTAGGCAATGACTGGGGAATGGGCAATGTATAAACCTGTTTCTAGGCAATGACTGGGGAATGGGCAATGTATAAACCTGTTTCTAGGCAATGACTGGGGAATGGGCAATGTATAAACCTGTTTCTAGGCAATGACTGGGGAATGGGCAATGTATAAACCTGTTTCTAGGCAATGACTGGGGAATGGGCAAAAGGACAACAATGGGTGCTAGGCAGCAGACACTTCACAAGCAACAGTTGAACTAGCAGAGGAACTGTTGGAAACATTGTTTTCTACTGTGACTCATAGGAGGTGACAAAAAGGGAACTCAGTGCTTGGGCGTACAACCAGGCCACCCTGTTCCTGGGGGATATAAATAAAGGAACCTGTCCCAAGTTAGGGGAGTCTCAAATCTGAGACAGTAAAATGTGGTCATGAGTCCCACAGGACTCGGACCTAATGATGATTGCTCTGGCAAGGATCAGCAACAATTGTAAATGACAGACCCATCCTCTCATCTTAGATGATGTTATGTAAGGACTATAACCAGAAGTGTTCAGTTGGAAAATAAAATTACTGGTTGTGAGTCTCAAGGGGCTTATTGCCAAGATGAACTGACTGGTGGTAAACTGCCAGTCATAAATTAACTCTGACTCTGAGCTACAATTAGTGTCAGATGGTAAGGATGTAAGCAGAAAGTGTTAAATTCCGTTACCAGGAAATGTCTAGAGAAGACAGAGAAGACTTTATCTGTGCTGTAGTTACAATGATATTTGGAGTATGTAGATTAGTGATAGTGTTAGAGTTATTTCTTGTTACAACCTGTGGTCAACAATCCAATCACCAATCCAAAACCCTGTCTACAGTCACATCTATCACATGACAATACTCAACCTAATCATTTACAACACATAATATTACAGAGCACTAAATGCTGTTACTTAAACCTTTCCTTCATCTCCAATACAGTCGCAAACATGTCACAGTCTGTAGGAAATGCAACTGGAAGTCATTTTATTCAAGGCAGTGATAGATTTTACACAGTGATAGGTTACCCATGAAACTGTATGTTAATGTTGAGATTTTGTCGATACTCCAATAGACAATCCACTTCAGAAAGTTTGCAGGCCCTGAAAAGGGCCGTTCGGCTGGGATGTTTGACCGGTGAAGTAGGGCTGCGTGCGCCGGTAGAAATAAAGTCGGCTGCGGTGTGTTGACTAATGTTGCGGCAGCTGAGTTAGTTGACTGGTTGCAGTGCGGCAGTTGTCGGAAGTTGCCTGGTCACAGTGCGGCAGTTGTCAGAAGTTGCCTGGTCGCAAAGCGTGGGTGCTGGAAGAAGTCTGGTTGTGGAGCACAGTCGCTGGAGTGGCAGCAGCTGCGCCAGTTGCCCAGTGAGTCGGGCATTACCGCCGGCAAGTCGAGGCAGCCGAGATGCCCAGTGAGTCGGGCATGACCGCCGGAGAGCCGAGGCAGCCGTCCCTGACGCAGTGAAGTGCCGATGACTCCGAAGACTGATGGCTCTGCATGAAGTGTGATAGCTGGCTGGTTGGTGTGGTCACTGCTGCTGACTGACTGCCTATGACCGTGTTTTTGGCAAGCAATGTGCTCCGCCTTTTATACAATGCGTGATGGAGGAGCGATTTTTGCAGAGCATTGATTGGCTAGCGCGTGTAATGATCTGGATGTGGGCTAGACAGCAAGTGCTGTATAAATGTGAGCGTTGGAAGCAACGCGATTGGGTAGCGTGAGTGATGGTGAAAGATGAGCTGGAAAGTGGGTGCTGTATAGATATGATATGTGGAATGTTCCCACGATGTATTTCTATTATGCTTAAGAGTAACAAATTTTTTAAACATATATTATATGTGTATTCATGCAGAGCTTCATTTTTAAATATCAAAACAGCATAAATAAACAAACTGTTAAATGCACAATAACATAACCTCACAGACAGTTTCATAGTTTGCATTACTATCAATACAGGGCAGTACATATACTATATCTCATTTATGCTATTGGAGGGCAATACGAATACTAAAATATTGTAATAGATGAAATGTCTTTATTTTTAGTCTGAGACATTGTGACATATCATTTCTGTGATCTTCATAACACACTTATTTGAAATATCATATACAATATCATAAGATACCTAAAACTGAAAATAATGGTGTAAACACGTTTTATTCCCATTGTTAGGTACTCATTATTTCACCATCTTGTGTTCCAGACAGAAATATCACTAATATGTAAATTCCTTAGTTGTAGCCTGTACCCAGATGGGATGTAAAAAAAAAAATGCCGTAGCTGCATACCCTCAGGTTTCCAAAGTCAAAAAATAGCCACACTCTTGTTTTCCAATTTATATACACAAAAGTAGGAATTGAACAAGTATGTCATTTTTCTACATAGTCTCCTTCCTTTTTCATGCACTTCGTCCAGCGGTCCACAAGCTTGCATATTCCCTCCAAGAAGAAGGTTTTCGGTTGGTTGCGCAACCATTTATGCACCGCTTCCTGCCCTTCTCTGTCTGTAGAAAATCAACAACCTCATAAAGCATCTTTGAGCGGTCCAAAGAGATGATAGTTGGAAGGGGCAAGATCTAGGCTGTAGGCAGGGTGTTCCAGCACCTCAAAACCCAAATGGTTAATGGTTTCAACGGTCTGGCCGGCCATGTGTGGGTGTGCATTGTCATGCAACAACACTTTCTTCGATAACAGGCCTCGGCATTTGGTGCAAATTCCTGGCTTCAGATTGTTGGCCAGCAAATCACTGTATCTTGCACTGTTGATCGTACACCCTTTTTCCAGGTAGTCTTCCAGTATAGGCCCTTCTGAGTCCCAAAAACGGTTAGCATCACCTTTCCAGTGGAAGATTGAGTCTTGAATTTCTTGTCCGGCCACTTTTAAACTTCTCGATCCACTCATACACACTTATACGTGGTAGAGCACTGTCCCCGTATTGTGTTGAAAGCCTCCAATGAATTTCAGCCCCTGACACACCTTCCAACCAGAGAAATCGGATCGCTGTTCTTTGTTCCTCCTTGGTGCACACTGCTAGCAGAGCGGCCATGTTTACACTGTCACAGCATCAAGGAAAATGATGAGATCAAGGTCAAACTTCAACCACGTGACCACAGTGGTACTAACTCTAAGCACACATGTGCAGAAGGCAGTGTGACAAACCTGAAGATGTGTTATGGCAAAAGTGCCGATAATTTCTGACTTTCCCTCATATACAGGGTGTCCCAGGAGGAATGGACCAAACTTCGGGAGGGTGTTCCTTATGTTAAAGTATGCTGATATAACCCAAAACACCTATGTCCAATGTTGAACGGTTACGGAGATAATGGCCAGAGAAGTGTCAAAGTTTGACCGGTGTTACACACTTGTTGATTACAAAATACGTATTAAAACTGGCAGGAATATGTGGATTCTGTAATGTTAATAATGTACGTAACATCAAACTAACTTGTGAGTGACATGAAGCCATAAAATTGAAGTACAAAATACTAGCTCGCCATGTCATAATTGTCCTTAGTGTTTCCAAGCACTATACATGACACATGACTGGCAAGTGCTGACGTAACGTGGCTGACTGCGCTATAAGCCGACCACATAACTGTATTAAATGTACATTCACGGAAAATCTCTTTTGGAGTTTCGTTTCCATTATCTCATGTGGATTATTATGGGACCACGTATGCACATTTAGTAAGTTATTTACACTGTCCAGGTTAAAAGACGCCACTGAATAAAATGTCGCTTAACAGTTCGGGATGAGCTTTTTATCCAGTGGCACAAATCCATACGCTGTGCATGGTCACCTGGTTCCAGATGTTGTATGCTTTGATCATGGTAAGGATAACTCTTCATCATGTAAAGTTCGCCACACCTGCATACGTGATACGCCAATGCGAGAGGCCATTCTACAAGTGGACAGACGCGGACTTCTCTGAACCATCTCAGGAATGTTCTCTCGTATGTCTATCATTTGTACATCCTCCCTTTCAGAGTGCACAGAAACACTCGGAAGAGAACCAGTATCATGCAATGTCTGGTGAATTCGCGTAAATACACTTCGAGATGGAATCCTTCGATCGGGAAAACGCCTTTGGTATTCTTCAACAGCAGCATGTGCATTGCCACTGCAAAATCCACACACAAAATGCATATCACAATATTCCACGTGTGAAAACACAAGAGGCATTTCAGCAACTCATCACACAACTAATCACGACCCCGCCGCAACGTACTCTGTAGGTAGCACATGAGCTTACGGCTAGTGTGAATCACGACACTCAAGGACAAACAGATAACGAGGTCTCAGCTGACAGGTATAGTGCGTGGGCCCGCCAGAAGACCACACTTTTCTCGGGCCATTATCTCCATAACCGCTGAACTTTGGACATAGGTGTTTTGGGTTATATCGGCATACTTTAACATAAGGAACACCCTCCCGAAGTTTGGTCCATTCCTCCTGGGACACCCTGTATATATATATATATATATGACAAGCATCAGTTTTCTAGAGTCCATGGCTTTTGAGTTAGAGCATGAACACAAACCCATAAACATTCTCTTTCCCTTTCCAGAGAACTAAATATAGTGATCTTCAAGTTAATTTGTAACATTTTCTTGCGAATATCTCTCTCATCTGTTTACTTAGCCACCATTAAAGGGACCCATAAACAACAGAAGCAGATAAAATAAGACAGGAAACAGAATGGCCTCTCTTCACCTCAGCATTCTATGTTCATACTATTCATAAAGCTCAAAGTATGAAAATATGGTTACTTTGGTTGCATAGTTGGTGAGGTACTATGCTACAAGTCGGAAGGTCGTAGGTTTCATTCCTGATGTTTTCATTGGATTTTTCAACTGACCTAACCCTTCCAGCCACACTATGGCTCTGGGGTCGATTCAGCCTCAAACGAGTACCATGAATTTTCCTGGGGGTAAAGGGGGTTGGCCGACACATAAGGCTAACAGCATCACCACCATCTGTGAGCTGACTTTCTAGACAATGTAGGGGCCTCATGACCCTATGAGTCTCCGCAACGTGTTACGGGGATAGGTTAAACTATTTTTTTTTTGCCTATTACTGTTCTTACTACGGTTAAACCCACTATCATGATTTCTACTTTCAATATATGGTTACCACATTGCAGTAGTGGTGCTCTCACCTCACAAGTTTTGTTTCACACATTATTACCAGATGCAGGAAATGAAAAGCCAACTTAGGCGTGCCCTCCAGTTGCATAACGTATATATCAAAGTTTATCAAAATCTGCCCATCTGTTCTTCAGTTGAAACATGTGAGTGGAGCATGGTTGGAAACATAGTAGGACATGCAGCATACATGACAATCCCTTGCACACTGTGCAAAGAACATATAATAAGAGAATAAGTACAGTATAAAATACGAATATATGGTCAGTGGTGAGCTGTTGTTTTTATTGTGCTGTCTTCAGAGTGCATCTTAAATAGGAATATTCTTGAACAGTACTATTTTCTGGCTTGTAATGCCACGTAGTCAGGTTCCAGAGGAACCATGGTGGACTTATACTGAAATACATGGTGTTATGTCTCATAGGACAGAACTGTTCATAGTCAAAACCTCAAATCTGGCAGAAATATTCCTATTTCAAGAGCTTTTAGTGGTAACATCTATGCAGATACTTTGGGAGACTGTGTGTTTACAGTGGATGATGGGGTATTCAAAATACTCGAGCAAGGCAATGTGTGATAGGAGAATTTCATAAACTACATCACTCAATGTATACACATTGTTTCCCTAAAGTTTTTATAGTGATACTATCACTAAAAGCTAATGCAACAAGAATATTCCTACTACAAAATGTGCATTGAAGACAGCACACAATAACAATGGTTCCTTCATTCATTCATCAATGGCACTACAGCCCTTTGTTGAGCCCTGGCCTTTTCTTCCATTTTGTAATCTTTTTACACACGATATGACTCCTTGGATGAGTGATCAGCCCATCACAAGGCAACCTACATACAGGACAACACAAACACAGAAAAAACGCACACACAGACATCCATGCCTTGAGTGGAATTTGAATCCATGATCACAGCGTTCAAGGGAGCAAAGACAGTTCATGCCTTAGACTGCATGACCACTGTGATAGGCATGATAATGGTTCACCCTTGGCAATATACAGTGGAACCCCCATTTAATGTTTCTCAATTTGAAGTTTTCCCTCATTTAACAATCAGTATCAATAATGTATAAATTTTTTTTTTTTCAGTCACAGCCTGATAGATTATAAGGCCGAGGGCACATGAAGGAAACTGGCAACCGCAACGCAACCACAATTTCTGAGAATTGTTATCAGTCTGAGTGGAACACGTTACTGAATGGAGCAGTGCAAATTGAGGAAACAGCAACATGGTTTCCTTGGTGTTCCCTCGCCCTAACAGTTGGTGGTTGAGTGACTTGGCCTCAGATTGCCCTCCAAAGTTCAAGACTGACGTACTCTTCACGAACTTATAACTGCCCTGATGGAGTAGATTCATCCTTGAGAAGCTCTTATTTTGACATTGCCACAACACACTCCATTTTTTGCATATATATTTTGTAATCGTTTCCTTAAATTAATACATAGTGGACATTGTTCCAAATGATCCCGAATGCAACAAATGGATGGTGCCTTGAGGATACAATAATTCCCACCTCTAACTACCACTGCCTCCAGTGATCCATGCTTACACATGTTAAATCACAATTTCAATGAATCTGCGTGGGTTGGAACTTTAATAGTGGCAACACTGCTGTAGAGATGCCATGCAATGGAACCAAATAATGTCGCTTATACCACACATTAGTTACATACCTACCTTACCTCAGAGCAAATGGACTCTCCCTTCCCACAACACGAGCATGTGCAGTGACGAGAAGAACAGAGCCTCGTGTTAGTTGGGAGTCTAATGTAGTGTTGTCATGATGTTGTCAAAACAGGAACAATGGAGTTGGATAAAGATTGAATGTGCCAGAGGCCATACAGCACAACAGTGTCATCAAGGTCTTCAAGAGGCTTGCGGGGAATCTGCATTGCCTTACAGAACAGTGGCAGGTGGCTAAAAGCCTTCAACGAGGGACGCCAAAATGTGGCAGACATGCGTCGACCAGGTCATCCTAGTGTCAGTGAAGAAGTGTATGCTCTTTCTGCGTTGCTGGAGAGTGATGGACGCCATACGATTCGTGAGCTGGCCCGAGAGACAGGATTAGCACATACGACTGTGCTTCACATTCTGAAGGAATGCCTGGGCATGAAAAAAATTCCATCACGATGGGTTCCGCATGATTTGATGGAAATGTAGAAATGGTTACGATATGATGCTGCTCGTAACCACTTGGAGCGCTATGAGCGCGAAGGAGAGGCTTTCTTATGCTGTATCATTACACTGGATGAGACATGGGCCAAATCATACACACCACAAATGAAATGCCAATTGAATGAATTGCTTCATTACGGGTCACCACAAAAATCAAAAGTTCGTCGGAACCCCAGCAATGTGAAAGTTATGGTGATTCTCATGTACAACAGTGATGGTGTTATCCTAACGCATACCGTTCCCCAACAGCAAACCATCAGTGTGCAGTATTACTGTTCATTCTTGGAACAGAACCTGCGACCAGCTTTGAGAAAGAAGCGGCGACACTTTCTGCAGAACCCACCCATCATTTTGCAGGACAATGCTTGGCTGAATGCAGTGCAAGCTGTGGCTGATTTGTTTGATCGATGGGGCTGGGAAGTGCTGTACCATCCACCATACTCCCCGGACTTAAGCCCTTGTGACTTCGACTTGATTCCTAAGATGATGGAACCACTTCCTGGCATTTGCTTCAGAACTGTTCCAGAGATTCTTCAGTCTGACTGCTCCATTCGAACTATTAACACAACAGGTGCTGCTAAAGGTATCCTACAACTTCCACATGGCTGGCAACGGGTTGTACACAATGCTGGTGACCACACTGAAGGACAGTAAAACTTCGAAACATGCATCAATTTTGTATCAGTTGTAAATAAATAGTTGCTACTATTAAAGTTCCAACCCTTGTATATGCTATCAACAATGGAAATTTGTATCTGGCAAAGGCTGACTGCAACGTGGACTGCAGCATAAGTAACTTTCATGATAGCCTGGCAATCCTCCCTGTATCTGCTAATGACAATGGTTGCTACATGAAGACAGAATGGGAAGCCTCAGGCTTCAAGGTAGCTTTTCCAAGACTGGAATGAAACGTGGACAGTGATGGCCAGAAGTGAAGTCAGAATCACAGGCCCTTGGAATAAACAGGAGTGTGTGACAGACATCTCAGAAAGCCCGATATTTTGCAGAAAAGAAAACAGTTTGATAAGATAATTCACCAGCTCTGTAAATTTCTGACTATCTGTACACTATACCATAGTAGCTGAGTGGTTGGTGATCATAAATTTAGAAATCTGAAGAAATGTACTCAGATTCACAGTTCTCAGAAACTTTCCAGACTTCAGGTCATATGCTCCAACTTATCAGTTCTGAAAGCTCGTAATCACTTAAACCAGGTAAAAGAGAACTGTAATTATAATGAAGAACTGAAATATTACCTAAACAGCTTCTGTTTGGTAGTAAATCCTTTCTCGCATTCTGTGCAAGAGTGTTTTCCAATTTTGGCTGGCTGTGCAATATCTGAACTGGGGTTCACAGAGCATCTGTTCATCTCAGATCTTTCAGTCTCCTCCTGCTGGTGTTGTGGTGAGGTTCCTACCACTTTCCCGAGACAAGTCTCCTTGTGCTGACGCAAGGATATATCTTCAGGAAACATTTCCTCACATTTGTCGCACTCTACTGGGCTACCCCAATGATCCTGGTGCAAGCGAACATGTGATTCTAGGGCTTTCCCACGGGCAAACCCTATTCCACAGTGACGGCAAACATGCGGACGACTGGTATCAAGAGGGGGTTTGGGAGGTTCTGCTACTGGAGGACATGTAAATGTTTCTTCAATTGAGGAACATTCCACTGCTGGCATACACGGCACTGATTCCACTTTGACAGCTGCACCTCCATATCCCTCAGTACTGAAATTGAAGTTGCAGTTTCTTGTCATGTAGTCATCTTGTGTTACATTATTGAAATTGCCAACATCAAATCCTGACTGGTTATTGTTCCCATGCTGTGCTGCAGTTGAAAAAGTGGCAGTATTACACTGTTGTCCCTGTAAAGTTCGAACAGATTCAACAATAGGTCCCGAATTTGCCCCATAATCAAACTCAGAAATAGTTTCACTTATATTTGTAATCTGAGAGTACTGTTTGGGCTCCACAGACTGATAATTAAGTTCATGATTACTTGATGTAACTGGTGTTTCACTGTTCTCATTATGGGGTAACACATTTCCATCGGTGATGGTGCAAGATTCTGTTTCACAGCTGTAAGGTGCATCCCATCCATTGTAGGATGACATTTGTATTACTGAGACTTTTTCAGAAATTGGCTGGATTGACTGTGATGAGGTTGCTGGTGCAAAGTAAGGTGATACTGCAGTAAAAACTGAAGTGCCAAGAGAAAGCAATGCACGTCCAGGAAAATATGTGTGAATTTTCATGTGATTTGTGAGACTTGATGGACGTTGGAAATCAGCTCCACACTGAGGACATCTGTGTGGCCGTTCCACCTGGTGACACACCATATGGTTCTGTAGATCTGCTTTCCGGCGAAAAAGGTTGCCACAAATCCTGCAGGAGAATCCAAATCATAATGTGAGCAATAACTTTGCACATAATAATTAATTCTGTTCTTGGGTTATTACTGTTTGGCTGTGGGTGATGTCACTGATGTTTTGGAACTACACGCTGCCTCCACCCTCAGGGTTAAGCCCGAAGATAGGGGCAATATCAGCAATATTGCCTGCAACCACAAAGTGTAACAACCAAACAAGAAAATTAACATAAATAATTAACCACTGTGAAAGCCTAAACTCAGTAAGTTTGCATCTGTATATTGAGTTCAAAGATGGTGTATTTTATTTTCAGTCCTCAGTTGTAATAGTCAAAGAAATTGTGGCCTAGCATAGGCTACATGATATTGCTTTGCCATAGCTGTTGCAGCTCTGCATTTCCTATGACTGTACTATCTACCATTGAAACTGATGTAATCAGTTCATTAGTGAGGGCATAAATCTTGTTCTTGAGATGTCATTCTCACAGTAATGAAATGGCTCAAACCCTACTCGACTTCACTGACAATGTAGATACATGATATACAATATGAAATAACCATTTTCTTAACACGGTTACTTTTTATGATAATGTTTTAACATTCTATGCATAACAGAAAATAGGAATGTGCTCAAGACATACTCAGCTGCCAAACATCTAACACTTTCAGAATTTCATACAATAAAATCAGGTTCTGTTTAGAAAATAAGATGCTAAGTTAAAGCTTTTTAAGTGAAAAAAATTCCTCAAGCACATCCATAAATACCTGCTCGAAATGATAAACTACTTCATGTCAGCATAACTGAAATAAAATATGGAAAACCTACTTATAATGGAATCCAAAGAGATCTTAACATTATACTTCTTAATTGTTTACATGTTTCAATATTGTGGCGTATTGGCTCTATGCAGGAACTGTTGAGCCACATAGGCCTCGGGGCACACGTGCAACATGAGAGTTGCGGATTGTATCAGCGCGTTGCTAGGCGACAACTTTGTGAACACTTGGATGGTGCAACAGGGACTGAGAGTGACATCACATACCTCCACTCATCCCGTTGCTGCACGACGCTCGGTAAACACGCCTGACAACAATACCTGATATCTGTTGCCAAGCAGCAATGTGTTTTCTATGTGGTCCGTGCCGAGCCTGTATAAGGAACAGCGAACACTATTCAGCCAGTATTCAGTATGAGTATGAGTTATGAGTAGTATGGAGCACACGTATTAAAGATAAGCAGCGACACACACAGAGAGAGCCTACACAGAACAATACCTGAACAGCGTTAAACAAGAAGTGGCCGGTGCAGCACTATAGACATAGGGCATGTACCCTGAGAAATTTTAATTTCAAAATTTGAAAAAGAAAAAGAACAAAAATCTTATAGACATTTTAACTTGAATTAAAGTTTTAAAAAAGTGCTAAATTTAGAAATCAAATTAACGCGTGTAGGTTAACAAAGATTTTATACAATTAGAAAGACTGGTGATTTTAAATTTTAACAGGCAGTGTAACAGCTACGTAAGAATACACACCTGATGATGGCCATTTAGGGCCGAAACATGTAGTGTGGAGGAGGGAAAGAAAAAAGAACTACAATTAAATTGTTACACTTAAGACGGTGTTTGTCTCATATATATAGTATGGAGTATTGAGTATTGAGTACAGGTTACGAGTATTCAGTATGAGCATGAGTTACGAGCAGTTGAGAGTGGAGGAAGCAAGCGACACAGATGAAGGAATACAGAAGGTTGTCTGTGAGGATGTCAACTGTGATTTAGAAGACTTTATATGTGCAACAGTGGATTAGATCTTATGTGTGTTAAGTCAGCGACAGCGCTGTATTAGAGTGTAACTGAAAGAGTGCGTGTAACCAAGATGTTAATCATCCAAACTAGAACCCGTCATTTCGTCACGTGTACCCCATTCACGTGACAATATAAAAGGTACTTGCTTCTAGACACATTACATAAAAAAAATTGCACAATACATACCCTAAAACTCAGAAACTCCTTTATGTGTGTGAACACTGTAACTGAGCAGTGGCTTTCTTTCTATTTTTACTTTTCCCATTAGTTGTAAAGTATTTTGTTCCCACTTAAGAGAGGAATGTTCCTTCTCATATAAATTCCAGTAAGCAGAGTATGGAAAAGAGAGAGAGAGAGAGAAAAACAAGAATATTCAGACAAAAAAAAAAGGTTAAATTAACTCTGTACATTACAAAATAATGTATTTTAGTTTTTTCTCTGTGACTAGAGGAATTTTCTGATAAAGGCAGAATTTTATTTAACCCATTTCAGACTGTATCTTAGGCATCTATACAGGCCAAGCCATAGCTCAGGCAGTTAGTTGCTGGCCATGTGAGTTTTGTGGTGGACAAAGCAGAGCTGGGGCAGGTTTTCTCTAAGTACTTCTGTTTCCCCTGCCAGTCTTCATTCCACCAATTGCTCCAAAATTGCTCATCTCTGGGGCTGGTACAATAGGCCAGTAGTAGCCGCAGTACCAAGTGGACTCAGTCTCACCACACTACTACTACTACTACTACTACTACTACTACTACTACTACTACTACTAATAATAATAATAATAATAATAATTTATATTGCAGTCATTAACCCATACTTACTTACTTACTTACTCATGGAGCTGAGCCCTTCTTGAGGAGCTGCCAATTCTGCAGCTACTCAAGAATTTCCCAGCATTTTATGGAACTCAAAGGTTCATCATCGTGTTCATGAGAGCCCTCCACTGGTCCCTATCCTGAGCCAGATCTATCCAATCCATACCATCCCATCCTATCTCTCTAAGATCCATTCTAATATTGTCCACCCACCTACGCCTTGGTCTTCCCTGTGGTCTCTTTCCTTCTGGCTTTCCCACCAATATCGTATATGCATTCCTCCTCTCCCCCATTCGTTCTACATGACCTGCCCACCTCATCCTACTTGACTTGATCATTCTAATTATATTTGAAGAAGAGTACAAGTTTTGAAGCTCCTCATTATGCAGTAGTCATTAACCCATACTGAGAAATACTCCTCTTATTAAAATGAAAACAGGTCCTGTATGCACCAAATAATTTGGCAGAAACCATATTGCTTCATTGCAATGGATCTGATTTGTCTCACTTAGAGACAGCCCAGCATTTTAGAGGAACATATCACCTCCATCTTCAGGGTCAGTGTGTAAGCTAAGCATAAAACCAGTAGAAGCAGGGAGCAAGCAAAGTTTGCTTGCCGCCTAATTCTTGGTTTCTTGCTTGCTTATGCACTGACACTGAAAAGGGGGGCAATGTTCCTCTAAAATGTTGGGCTCCCTCCAAACTACATGGCATTACAACACAAAAGACTGTACACATGTCTTCATCTTGTAACCGATCATTACCTACGGGCACCATTCTTAAATATTACCAACTATAATATAAATTTTTAATTTTTATTAATACTTAGGACTTAATACCATTTTTGTACTAAAGGTGACTTATACTCAGTTTTGCAGTAAGTATTCTGAGAATTGGTAACAAGGAAATGTTTAGATAAGGACTACTGCAACTCGAGACAATCCCATGATAGAAAGAAAGGTATATGTATCAGTTACTCCCCCTCCAACCAGGCAAACTAAAGAAACTTCCAGAACACTCTCAAACTGTAGAGTGGTGTGGAAGCTTGAAGAAAAATCTCTTATGCTGAAGGTTCTTGAAGTATTATGTCATACAAGAGTATTTAGAGGCTGATTTCAGATGGTGCTGATCATGGTATTCATTGCAGTGTTGGGTGTTGTGTATTACTGACTATTGCTGACTAGTAGTGAACAGTGCAGTTATGTATCAGAGTAGTTGTATCAGCATAANAAAGAAAGGTATATGTATCAGTTACTCCCCCTCCAACCAGGCAAACTAAAGAAACTTCCAGAACACTCTCAAACTGTAGAGTGGTGTGGAAGCTTGAAGAAAAATCTCTTATGCTGAAGGTTCTTGAAGTATTATGTCATACAAGAGTATTTAGAGGCTGATTTCAGATGGTGCTGATCATGGTATTCATTGCAGTGTTGGGTGTTGTGTATTACTGACTATTGCTGGCTGGTAGTGAACAGTGCAGTTATGTATCAGAGTAGTTGTATCAGCATAAACAAACTGATTTGTGTAATATCGTGTAGTGCTGTTAACGATAAATTAAGTTCATCATTTTCACGACTACAGTGTGGTCCAGGGACTTCTTTGGGAGGAACCTCTCATCGAAGCAAGGCCCATTAAGCCTTGAAGAGAATCTCATGCCCTGAACATTGTTCCCCTTCCTAACCTCACGTCACTCCCAGTACTTTGACGTGGTCCTAAGACCACGTGGTGTTCAACAACTATGACTGAGCAGAATATGTGAAGAAGAACCATTATAAGTGGTGCCCAAAGCAAGGTTCCATTAGCGTGAGAGGAAGAACAGTCATAATCTGCCTGAAGCTGTTACACTGATAGCACTTACACTATGTAGTGTTTGGGAGAGTACATAATATTAATCCATACAAAGACAACCTTAACATGTGTGAGTGAATCTTGAGCAACAAAGAACACAAGGACTCTGGATATAAACAAAACAAATGATGAACAGCTGCAGAATAAGCAAAGCATGGATATATGTACATTCTAATGACAAAAATATCAAAATCCACATTCCAGTTTTTACTTATGATGCAATGATAACACACGTCTGTACTACACAGTGAAATGCCCATTTAAAATTTCATTTTGGAGCTGAGGATCTGAAAACTAAACTAAGGAAAATATTAAATGTAGGTCATTTAACACTGAGTTTGACTTAGGATCTCTGAAACTGAACATTAAATGACGGCTATTCATAATGTTGTATTTTAGCATCCTGTTGCACTGATTTTCATCCGTGATACGTATACAGTTTCCGTCTTGTAGTGCACTCAATTTCTTCTGTTACTTCACATGTTTCGGCAACATAGTGCCATCGCAGCTAAGAAGGGAACACACATCACAAGACACGGTTTACACAGAATATAAGAAAAACGACCCCCATAGAGGAAGAACCACACACAAGTTTTAATTATGACACATAAGATGAATAATCTTAACAAGTTTTAGTGTGTGTAAATTCATTATAGTTGACAAATACGCACTTTTTAAATACTTTTTAAATAA